GATGCTCCTTCTTTTCCCCTCCAGAGAGTGACTATCAGCTTGCCCTAGTTATCGACGCTCCTTCCTTCCTTCCTCACTTTCCTTCTTCGCCTTACAATATCTCCAGAATTACAACTCCGAAAGCGTACAAGTTGGACTTATGTGTTGGAACTCCGGTAGACTGAAATTCAGGCGGCATGTAGCCTCGTGTGCCCTAGAATTTCATGAATCTTAAATTTGGCTTACTTGAATCTCGTTCCAAGTTGCTATCGGTTTCACCACAGAGTTCCGCCGTTCAAGACTATGATTAGGAGTCGGGTTGTCATCTTTCATGTCGCTAGAAAGACGAAAGGTAAAGTTGAAGAAGACGATGAGTAGATTGGTTTTTCCAATCATCGATTTGTCAAGAGGTACTTATGTCGATAGGTAATAACTATATACTCTCTCCATGTGTACTGTTTATGTTAAGAACATAAGAAGAACAATAATTTTCCTAAACTCTCCTCTCTTATCTCCCGATTTCTAAATACACCTCGCTATCCTTATTTTTATGACTTTGCTAATGTCTCTGCTATCTAAACTCATCAGACCTCACTCATCACTCGCCCCCTCATAATCGGATTTCTATTTTCTTTAATTTCTTTATTTCCTGATTTCTAGATATGGAATTGGTTGTGGATTCTCCGATTCCTGATTTCTAAGACTGCAATTTAAAGACTCATAAGAGTAAAGAGGGGATCTCTGAATTTTTGATTGATTGATAATAAGACTCCAGGTATAATTTTTATGCCCAACTTATAATTTCTCATTTTCTAGACTTATGATTTCCAAATTTCTAGAGTTCTTGTATTTATTTTCATATTTTTGTGTTTTGATTCAGGACTAAGGAGTTACATTTTTTCTTTAATATTGGAGTTTGGTGGAGGTATATACTCTCCCTCGACAGCTTGTGAAATCCAAGATCAGGGCACAAGCGATCCAGGTTCTCATGCTCTGATTCTCGATCTCCAGTTTATTCCACCTTGAATATACATGTAGTCATTGAACCAACAACCTTAAATATCGGTAAGAACTCCCTATCTATAAACTTCTCACAGAAATTCATAACTATGTAAGTGTTCTAGGAGTTGCTACGATTTTTGCTTCTAGAGGTGTAATCTGGGTTTATTTCTTGTTAAGCATCAAGATGAATATTTCTTTTGAGCACCAATTAGGAGACGAGTGAAAGACCAAAGGGTGTACCAACTAATGTTTCAGGAAAATTCCATCTTGGCAATCAAACGATTAAGCGCATGAAGAATTAAAAGAAAATATTGGTAATATAAAATATACTTCATGACTTTATCCAAGTGCTCTCAATCTATCGGTTTTGGAGATATTGAAGCTTGATTTGATTCCATTGTCTTGTTTCAAATGATATTGAATTTGAATCTATTTATAAATCTATTTTTAAGCTATGACACTCTAAATAGGCTAGAAAAGGGAGGTGATAAGCTGTGCACAGATGGTGTTTAACAAAAATGCCCAAGAGAAATATAATTGCAGGTTACACCCAAAACGTTGGTTCTGTTGTTGATGTCCTTGACTGGATGAAAAAATGGTTTTTTGTTTTTTCAAAAACAATAATATTATAATAAAATTTAAAATAATACTAATTTGCTAAAGCATAGATTCATGTGGCTACTGCTTTATGTGAATTCAACCATGGCTTATGCTGCTAACTTGACCGATTTTTTGGTCACCAAGCACACAAGTGCACTAACTCGGCTGTTTACAGGTGCACTACAAAAGATGAAGCTACTAACAACTCTGTGTTTCCCTTACGTGTTGGCACGAGGGGCATTTCCGGTATTTGGTTACCCGTTGGTGGTGAACTCAGCTGTTTACAGGTTTGCATGGGTGGGGTGTTTAAGTTTTAGTATGGTAATCGGTAAAAGGTAAAGGTGATTCGGCATCATATTATATCATATTATCATATGTTATCTTATATTAGTGGCTGTTTGATTAATGTTTGTTGACACAAATATATGAAATGTGTTACATTATCAGATGAGATGCAAATTCTAATAATCTTTAATGTTTTCTATATTATTCATATGCTAATAATCTTTAATGTTTTCTATATTTGCAGCATTAATCCATTTAGGCTTATTGCAGTTGGATTATCTGTTTGGACTTTTGCAGCAACTGGATGTGGGATTTCAATTGACTTTTGGTCAATCACAATCTACAAAATGTGAGTTGACTATTTGAATTTTCAAACACACATTTGACTTTTTAATGGTCAAACATATGAATTTTTAAAGCCTCGAGATTTATGTATATTTCAAGTTCTTTACATACAAGTTGTTTCCCTTTACCCTATTTTAAATGTTTTATGTTCTGGTTTTTTTTTATATCTGATAATGAGCCTGTGTTACATACGAGTTGATTTAGTTCTTCACGTGTTAGTGAATCTATTTGTCACTAAATCTTTTAAATGATTTAACAACAGAGTGCATGCATATGATGTATGGTCAAGTAGTTAACCTGTCTAATTCCAATAATGGAAGCTACAAGTGTCAAGGGAAAATAAGGCTCGATGTGTCTTTAAAAATTCATGGTATAAATGCTTACCTTGATTACTCTCCTGGACTCCAACACTCCCAGATTATAAATTAAAATCAATAACAGTTCAACTTTCAACACTAAGGTATGACACGCTTCACTCTTATTTCAATTTTTTGGTGTCATTGTGCCTTATTTTTGTTCAATTGGTTCATGGATATTGATTTTTTTACATATTTTTTGGGGACTTCAGGTTCATAGCTGTTAGTAGCTTTTTCATGGCAGATGTAATTAGCAAGAAGCTTCTACTCTTTTTTGGTCTTCTTCTTGTTGCTCCTCTCGTTGTTTATCCACTTAAAACTGGTTGTTTGACATCCGGGAGGCGGTTGTTGAAGCAATCGTCTTCCTTCATCAATAGATTTCTCTCCTATCTTCAGGTTTGATTTAGTCTTGTGTCTCTCTCCCCCAAATTTCGTCGATATTTATTCTCATTGATGGGGACAGCAATCGTCTTTTTCCCTAAATATGGTTATCAATTTCAATGGCCATCATCATTGATGATGATTAAAGTTTTGGAGCCCTCTAGTTTTCTTATCATATATGCAGACTGACACAGCTTCTGTGCTGTTAGAAGCTATTGGTTACATAAGATTCCTTCAGAGTCAAATTGAGGTGATGCTACTTTCCTTTCTTCTGTGCTTCTTCCTCTTCTTTTATTCACCTTTCACAAACTACCATGAGGCACAGTTATGCCACATACAAACACAAACACACACACACACACACACACACTAAAAGCTTCACTTCCTTAATGTTATATAAACATACTATGCCTCAATCCCATATTAAACTATATCTCTCTGTTATATGTATGTTTTTAATTTGTAAAAAATTATTCCCTCTGTCCAAATGAGTATAAGTTGTTTTTTTATTCTCAAGAGTGAAAAAGTTTTTACTTTTTAGTTATGACATGAGTATCAATAACTTTATGAATCATTTTAATTGCTTTTAATATTATATGACAAATAACAATCTATATATGAAAATGCAGAAAAACATCACATGAATTAGAATTTTTCGAAAATAATGTTATATGTGATGGTTTTCTTTAGTTTTTGTTGCAGTAATTCATAAATTGCTCATACTCCGTTCTTAAAATTAATTTTCTTATACATAAAGAACCCTACGTAAATGAAATTAAATTAATTAAAATCGATTTCAGATTACGCCAATTTTGTACTTAAAGTAAAAAACAACTGCCAATAGGATTGATCTATATACGAAAAGAGCACTAGACATTTGACTTAAAGAAACAATATCTTCATATTGACTAAACTTGATAGTTGATTTGTGTATGTATTATACTGATCAAAACTGATGTGAATCAAACTGAAACGTATTGATTATTTTTGTCTCATAAATCAGACATTATAAATATGCTCTATTATAATTTATATAATTCAAGGTTTTTTTGTATGAAATTCTTAAAAAAATAGAATAATGATGTAACAATTTACCAAATTCTAAAATCTAAAAATTGTAGCATCCTAGGTCTAAATAATTGGAACCACAGTTCTATAATGGAATATTGGAAACGACATACTTTGAAGCTTATAAAAAATCCAAATTAAGAGTTGTAAAATTTTTCTCTAAACCTATTTATTTGTCATATTAACAAGGTATTGACGTGATTATAAGATCTACCAAGGAATGTATCATATAATTAGAATCACTCACATATTAGTATAATATTTGTATAACCTTACAGCTACACTCATGTGTTGAAGGTGAAAGTTGGCCTTTTGGATTCTAAAGCTCATTCATAAATTTACATTTCTTAATGGAATTCAAACCCCAACTTTTGGTAAATGTTTAAAAAAATTACTATTCTGGGAAACAGGTGGTTCTTGATCATGGCATATTACATATGTAAATTGTTATCATCTCGCGAAGTACATTGCCTATATTAAAAAAAATCATAAAGCATATTGTCCTAGTTGCTTTTTTTTTTTTAACAATTTACATGAAATTATTAAATTTAACATTTTTTTACCGGTTTTTGATACAGTTAGTTGCAAGATTAGCTTGACAGCAGCTGCCTTCACCATTAAAGCAGAGTTTTGTTTTCTATTTCTTGATTTGAATCATATACCCTCAAAATTGAAAACTTTGAATTCATTTGAAAGATAGCCAATACTGCTTCCAGTTGGTATCAATGTTAATAACCCCTCAATCGTTTGGTCACTTGATTATTTACCAAGAAGGTCTACTATATATGTTTTTTGCTATTTTCTTTTAGGAATCTCAACAATTTTTGTCAATTTTTTGTTATCCTGTGATCATTGTTGATGGTTTAGCTGGAGTTAATTGTTGTTGATATTACATGCTTTGAATGTTTAATGGTATGATGGATTGATTTTTGTAGGTTATTTTCACAAATTAATCAAATATCAAACGTTGGAAGAACAAGCAATATGTGGCAATGGATTCCAAAATTGGAAGACTCAACAACTGGATATTGGGATACAGGTAGTGGAGGATTAGGAGGTAAACATATAACAGATCGAAGAATTTGAGTTCAACTTTTTTTCTCTTGATGTTTAGCTGTTTTTGAATTGTAGAAATTATCGGTTAATTAATGTATTGTATGTAGTAATTACCACATGTAATTTTATAAAAAATAGGTTAAACCTTTTTTTCTTTCTTTTAAGGGTTTCAGTTCTTGGTTTTTGAGGTTATTTTTGTTTCTGATTTTTTGGTAGCAGAGAATGTTGATGATTTTAGAGTTACTGTGATTGTGGCATGTGGGGAAGCTAACAATGAACTTTTGGAATTTATGGGGAATGTTTGTTTCTTTTTTTTATATTTTTCTATTTTGTTATTTAATATTTGAGTTTTTTGAATTGTGTAGGTGAAGAATATGATGATATGCGATGTGTTGGTTTAGGTGTTAGGTTTGAGAGTAGGTAAGATGACACTTTAGAGAGGGTGGAACAACAAGTGTAAGCTTCTTGTGGTGAGTTGAAACAAATTTTTTTGTAAACTTTGTTTCTTTATTTTGAATTTTATCTTTTAGTATTTTATAGTATAATAAAGATGGATATATCATCTGAATTTGATGAATATAATGTGGAACAGATTTCAAAGGCAGATAGGTATATGAGAAACTGCTTGAAGGTGTGCAACCTTGAACTCTTTGTGTGATCTTTATATGTAATTAATTGGGTTTTTCAAACTACAATGTCCTAATAAGAAAAAACTGTCCATTTTGTAACCACAGCAACGCGGGATCCTTCCGTAGTTATAATTAAATTTTATGGTGTTTTTTTGTTATCAATGACAAAGTTTGTTTTTTCCTCATTTTGCATTGATATACCCGAAAATACCCGATAATTATATTCTAACTATATGGCATATAAGTGTTATGATTAAATCTGATCACCTGAACTAGTTCAACTAGCGATAGGGTGTTTGGATGTGCGATTTCAAAGTAATTATTAACATTTCTTTATTTCTACAAAAATCATTATAACTAAAGAACAAGATAACTATATATTTGATTAAGGTCGTTAATTAAATTGTAACATATTAACTTGATAATTTGATTCACGTGAAATTTTACTCTTTACTTTACTTTTTACCCATAATACCAAAATATTAGCAATTTGTTTTATATTTATGGAACCAATCACCAGAGGGGTTCATGGGTGATGAAGCGAAATTTTCGTATTCCATTAGAGGAGGAGCTTAGAAAAATGGTGACACTAGAAAATGTATGTTTTCACTTTTCTTTAATCGTTATCTTTATCTTCCTTTTCTTTTATCTTATTTTTATTTGTGTGTTAGGTGTGTGCTTTTGAAAGCATGCTAACTGGAATGTACAGACTGGAACTTCTAGGAATCAACATGACTCATCCATGTGGTTTCTCCTCTGCAATGAATCAACTCCCTACTAAAGCAATAGCTTTAGCTGCTGCTTCTCACATCGAGAGAGAATTACAAATAACTCCCTGGAATTTAAGCAGCAACTTTGTTGTCCAAATCAGGTAAAAAAACCAAACAGGGGCTTAATACTTAACTGGATATGATTTATTAGTGTGAAGTCTTAAATATTTTTGTTCAGGATAGAGGAAACATTGAAATATTGGAGATTAATGGTGTTGGTGATCCATCTGGTAGAGGATTAGGATTTAGCTATGTTTGAATTGCTCGCAAGGCTCCAGTTTCAAATAACATTGCAAAGAAAGAAGTTTCTATAAATCTCAAGGCTCCAGTTTCAAATAACATTGCAAAGAAAAAAGTTGCTATAAATCTTGTTTACAGTGAGGCAAACATTAGGTTATTAGAACTATTAGTTTGTAAATACTTCTATTGATTTGTTTTATCTTTCCATGGAACGATTATTTGTATGAAATTAAATTTTATGTAATGGATTGTATTCTTTTTGTATATGATATTTTATTTTCTATTATGAGACATTGAATCCAAATTTAATTTGAAAATTAGTAAATCTATAAATAATATTTTTTTTAAATATTTAAAATTATGATACACAAAAATGTATATCATCTTCATTTATGACATGACCTTTCTTGACAAGGGCTTTCTTGATACACATTGCGTGTCATTAACACGCGCGTCGTATGGTTACAACATGCAAATGCGTGTCGTCTTCCTTTATGACAGGGTGTTCCTTGATACGCATTACGTGTCGTAACCGCGCGTCGTAATTGCACGTCGTAAATGAGCGTTATAAAAGCGCGTCGTCTATAGACGACACGCAAAAGCGCGTCATCTCTCTTTATGACAGGGCCTTCCTTGACGCGCATTTGCGCGTCGTCTGAGCCTTTTACGACGCGCAATGAGCGTCGTAAAAGGCTGTTTTTCTAGTAGTGCTTGCCAGGATTATAACGAATCTCGCATTCGTAATCGTTGAGTAACTCAACCCATCGTCGTTGTCACATGTTGAGCTCCTTCTGATCGAAAATGTGTTGAAGGCTCTTGTGGTCGGTGTAAATAGTACTCTATGTTCCGTACAGGTAGTGTCTCCAGATCTTCAAAGCAGATACCACTGCTCCTAACTCTAGATTGTGTGTCGTATAGTTTACTTCGTGTGTTTTAAGCTGACGGGAGGCATAAGCAATAACCTTTCCTCGTTGCATAAGAACACAACCAAGCCCTTGATTCGATGCATCGCAATACACCATAAAATCCTCTATCCCTTCAAGGAGGGATAGTATTGGTGCGGTGCATAAGGCTTGTTTCAGAGTTTGGAATGCCTTTTCTTGTTTTGTTTCCCAGTCAAAGACCACGCCTTTCTGGGTTAACGTAGTAAGAGGTTTCGTGATGCTAGAGAAGTTCTTTATGAATCGGCGATAGTAACCAGCTAGACCTAGAAATTGACGAATCTCAGTGGGTGTCTTTGGTGCCGACCAGTTCTCAATGGCCTTAATTTTGGAGGGGTCCATGTGTATCCATTTTTCGCTAACAACGTGGCCCAAGAATTCGAGTCTTCGAATCCAAAATTCACATTTAGAGAACTTCACATAGAGCTTCTCTGATCGTAGTGTTTCTAAGACCTTCCGTAGGTGTTGACTATGTTCTTCCTTACTTCGGGAGTAGATAAGTATATCATCGATGAATACAATGACAAATTGATCCAAGTAAGGACGACACACTCTATTCATTAGATCCATGAATACTGTTGGTGCGTTGGTTAATCCGAACGACATTACTACAAATTCGTACTGTCCATAACGGGTTCGGAAGGCTGTCTTGGGAACGTCTTCTTCTAGCACTCGTAATTTGTGATATCCGGATCGTAGATCTATCTTTGAGAAGTAGCTCGCTCCTTGAGGTTGATCAAATAGGTCGCCAATACGGGGTAGAGGGTAACGATTCTTGACAGTGAGTTTGTTCAGCTCTCGGTAGTCGATGCACATCCGGAACGATCCGTCTTTCTTCTTTACAAACAAAACCGGTGCTCCCCAAGGTGAGAAACCTGGTCTGATAAATCCTTTTTGGTGTAGTTCGTTAAGCTGACTGGAAAGTTCTTGCATCTCTGCTGGTGCCAGACGATAAGGCGATTTTGCTACAGGGGTAGCCCCTGGAATTAAGTCGATTCTGAACTCGACTTGGCGTTGTGGTGGTAATCCCGGTAGTTCTTCTGGGAAGATATCGGGGAAATCCCATACCTCCGGGATGCTGTTTATATCTTTTACCTCTTGACTCGTATCGACGATGTGTGCGAGAAATGCCTGATAATCCTCCCGCAAACACATTCGGGCCTGGATGCACGAAATGATGCGAAGTTTTGTACTTGATTTGTCGTTGTAGATCACTATTGTTTCATGGTTAGGAAGATTTAGCCGAACGGCATTTTCTAAGCACATGATGTCGGCGCGAAGAGGGCTTAACCAATCCATGCCAACTATAACATCGAAACTTTTTATGTGGACTGGCATAAGGTTAATTGGGAAAGAGTGACCATCTAAAGTTAATGTACAACCGATGTATATGCAATTAGTGTTTTCCGTTTTCCCATTTGCCATTTTTACAGTGAATGAATAAAGTTAATGTACAACCGATGTATATGCTAGGTTTACGTGTAAGTAAGTGAATAAAGTTTTGGCTCACAAAGCTTCTCTCCGCTCCGCTATCAAATAGGACGCATGCATATGAATTATTGAGAAGAAACGTGCCAGCAACTACTGTAGGATCAGCTACGACTTCCTCGTGACCAATAGCTAATACCCGTCCCATTGCGCCGGTATTTGCTGCCTTTGTGCAGTTTCTTTTGTAGTGGCCCACCTCGCCACAACCGTAGCAGGCTTGGCCTACACCAGCACCGGGAACTTGAGTGATCGGTTTTGCAGGGGCCTTGCAGAAACGGGCAGTGTGCCCCTTTTTGTTGCAGTTGGAGCACTGCATTTCCCAACATGGTCCGCGGTGGTGGTAGTTGCACTTGGTGCACTTTACGAGGTTGCCTACATAAGGCTTTGTTGGGTAGATACTTGTAGGAACGATAGTAGGTACCGTCGCAGCGTTCACGGCAACCAGTTGTTGTTTCTTTGAGGATTCTTAGGAAGATCCACCCTTCCCCTTATTCCACCCTCTCTTGTTGTTGTTGTTGTTATTGTTGTTTCCCTTGTGTGGTTCTAGTGCAGAAGTTGCTGAGTGTTGATGATTTCCGTAATCAATGAGCGATTGTGCCAGCTCTTTGGCACTTTCAAAGGTGTCAGGTTTGGAAGCTAACAAGCTTGACTGAATTTGGGGCGACAGTCCCCAAATGTATTGCTCTATCTTCTTGCTCTCGGGAGCAATCATATCCGGGCAAAGGATTTCCAGCTCACAGAATCTGTTGGTATCAGTTGCTATGTCGGTACCAATCATTCCTAGAGTCCAGAGTTCGTGCTTGAGTTTTTGAATCTCTCCTCGTGGACAGTACTCCCTCATCAACATGATTTTCAAGCCCTCCCAGCTTATCGAGTTTGCCACTATCAGGGTAAGTACCTTAACGTGGCCATTCCACCAAGTTAAAGCCCTGTCAGTAAATGTGTAAGTTGCAAACTTGACCTTGCTGTGCTCGGGGCAGGAGCAGATTTCAAATACTGATTCCGTTCTTTCAATCCACTGCCTTAAAACCATCCCACCACCCATTCCATTAAACATCCGGGGCTTAGCATTTGTGAAGTCTTTGTAGGTGCACTCCCGGGGTTGTCCATGACTCTCGCCATGGTTGGAAGGATGCATTCCAATTCCTGAACCCCTAGTAACAGGAGTATTGATCTGTGACATGGCAGGTGTCACAACTGCAGTGAGTGCTTCCTGGAACATGACAACATCAAATTGAGGAGGTGGAGGTGGTGGTGGTATCTGTGTTTCGTTATTAGGGTTACGTCTGGAATTCCTACGTGGCGGCATCTTTAACTATACATTTAAAAGATGATGATATGGATAAGAATAAGTAAATAATGAACGTGTCTCATGAACTAAATTGCTATAGTTCAACAACAGATGATAGTATGAGTTTTACAAATAGAAGAGCGAAGGTTATTCGTAAATCCGAATATGTGAACAAGCGTATTGTTTTTCCATAGTATTTTAAAGATTGAATGCGATACTCAACGTAGTAGTAATAACATGTGAATTATATTAATATAATAGATGATACAACGATCACAAAAATTTGACCCTTAAACGGGTCTCCGATTACGTGAATTTAAAGGAAGTAAAAAATTTTAGCCGAAGTCCTATCTTATAACAAAATATGAGGTTTTCGCAAGTACTACTTGCGACGTGTGTTGCGCTTGGAGCTCGATTCTGCATCTGATTGCTTCGACTCCATAAGACGCCTATCGCAGGCGGCTTGTTGTTCCCTCAACTCTGCGAAGGTTGCATTCGCTTGTGCTTGGAATGCTTCGGCGCAGAGGTGGATGTCGTTCTGCAACATATCCAGGCAGCGGATATCGGCCGCGTGGACTTGTACTTCCACGTTGACCTCTCGGATTCGGTTTGCTTGAACCCCCGATTGGTAGGACTGGTTGGCCAGTCTACCTACCATTGCTGGAAGTGCTCGGTTGGCTGAACCTCCGTCCCTGATGTCATAAAAGTCTCGACACATTCCGTAGGGAGAACATATCCCTTGTTATTGGCTCCAGTGGATAAGGTGACTTCCACAAACGGGAGTCGGTCCTAGAAAGTTCCTCCTAATGGGTGGAGGGTTGATTATTTCCGGTTCCGAGTCTGTCACAGAGTCTTCCCCTCCATCCAACTCAATGGGCTCTTCGTCCTCCTCCGGATCCTCTTCAATCCATCCTCCGTTGCCTTGTTGTGGGTAGTAGGGTTCTCCATTCGGGTGAAATCCAGCCATTTGACTATACGAGAATAGGGTTATAAGATTTGAACAAAACTTGAGACATGTAATACTAATTACTCCAGTGTATGAACCAAATACTCCTATAGTATTTAAATTGTATGTTAGATACTAGTGTCTATTTTGTTAAGTTTTGACTTGTTCCTCACTACGATCATTCCTTGACATACGTTAGTCAAATTTTGGATAAACATAGTTGATCAGGCTATATTTGTCCCAAATTCGATTACATATCTCGAGAACTAATCGTAGTGTCCAACTTGTCTTAATACTTTTTGTATAGTTCTTATCATAAAAATTTGTCGTTGTATG